ATACATGAGCTCATTTTAAATGAGTGTAATAGCTAAAAATGTGTTTAAATAAGTTCAATATTTAAACCCTGTCAGGCTGAGGTCACTACAAATACCCAAACTGCCTGCAGATTCTTTCCCTTTCTTGTTCTTCTCTGTGCATCTCTTCCTCTCCAGAATGCTGCCAGCTGTCACCCAGGCCTGTCTTGCAGCCACATCTCCGTCTGTCCAGGGCAGAGAAGCCAAGGCTGAGGCTCCCTTCTCGAGGTGCACTGAGTTCCCATGCTGTACAGCTTGCTGAAGCCCCCAAGTCATGACCGAACACTGGAGCGCGTCCTCTTCTCCTTCCCCAGTAAAAACCGAACAGATGGAAAGGAGCCCTGAACCAGTGCACAGACATGGCTGTGTGCAAGAGGGGCTCTGTGCTCCCGCCTTGATGACAGCTTAGAGCAACATCCATCTTGAGTTATTTTTGTTTGCTGAGGCTGTAAGTTACAATCTTCAGAAGAAAGAGAAAGAAAAAAGGTTGGTGCACACTGAATGCTGCTGCTGACAAGCTCCCATTTTCCTCTATGCTACTGCATGATTTGCAGAAGAGAAAAGCTGAAAACCTCTTTCACACTGCTCGTATCTCAGAAAATGGGAGAATTCATAGCCATGCATTTTACATGATGGGCAGAAATCAGCTCTTCGGGCAGATGCAATTGCAACAAAAACCAAACACAAACGAGTGAGCACAGTGCAGCTCCCCTAGGGGCTCATTCCAGCAAGAGAGATGGACTTTTAAGAGTTAGGCTCCTCCAGAATATCCCATTCCAGGCACAAATCCACACATCACCTCTGAAGCAAAGGTAGCTCCACTTCCATATATGCTGCAGTTTTTCAGAGCCAAAATGATCAGACAGCAACATCAGAAAAAGAAGCATTCTTCCCAGAAGGGAGCAGGGGGAAATCCCAAGCTAGAGCAAAGACGATCAGTAGGAAGGTGAAGGGCTCCTAACACAATGCAGCAAAGGCACGAGGACTCTGGCTCTGCAGCTTGGAGGACGTAAAAGTGCCAAGCTTGAGCCAATTAAGCTCCATCAACCTGGAGCAAGACTCTTCTCAGCTCTGCAGCCAGAGGCATACAGCAGCCTCAGGGATACCTGCTCATGCTCTAGTGCACAAGGCAGGCATGCCCTCTGGAGCTCAGGCGTGCTGAGAGGAGGTATTTTAGCTCAGCAGATAAATGCAGCAACAATAAATGGCATCAATTATTCACTAATGGAATTATGCCTAGTAAGTCAAACAGAACATATAATCTGAAAAATCTTTTGCTTAAGAAATGCAATGATTTTTAATTGGTTTTATATCCCCTGCTATGAGTACTCAAAGCACTACATACAAAAGGCTTGGGAAGAGAAGTCACTTAATCAGATTAAAAGGAAGTCCCTACCTACGGGAACCTAACAGCTCCCACATCCTCAGTTTATTTGTATAACCTCCTCCTGTAAAGCCTTTCCAGGTTATTACTAGGGCTGCAGTCCCAGCATTAGCTGTTTGCTCCCTTTCACTTCCTAAAGCAGGCAAAAAGGATGATTTGCAGCTTTCCAAAAAGCTTCTTAATATTAAGAAACGCTTGTGAAACTTAAATCAACATTACATTCACACAGATGCTCGAGGCAAACTATTCTGTCACCACCACAAACAGTAATCATTACTCTGCAAACATGACAGATTTCTTTTGGAGCACCTGGAAGCTGCTGCATGTAAAGAAGAATCTGACTAGCATAATTAAATTAACTCACCTATTTTAATTCTTCTGGCACAGCATCTGAAGCAGGAAGAAGCCAAACAATGTTACTGCGGTACAAGTTTGTGTCATTTTTGCAGCATTCTGTAGCCCTCACATGCATTCCTGTTTATCACCTCTAAATGGAAACAAGAACACCTGAGTCTACAAGGTAGGGCAAGCAAAGGCACCTGAGACCATTTATTTCGGTTCTGGTTTGCTGGGCTTTTTTCCTCCTTCCCAGAGCACTGTTTCTTCAGCAAACTTTAACTCTACACCTCCAGCTGGAGCACCGTTTTGTCACCTCCTTCTTGACATCCACTCCCATCCATCTCCTCAGTGCCTCCCGCTGTTGGCCAACTCCTGTGTTCTGCCTGTATTTGCTATTTAGAGTTTACACCCTCAACTTTCTCCCCCTTAGGTTTCCATTCCACAACTTCAAACATACATTTCTCCCCATTAGCCTCTGCCAACATCTTTCTAGCCAAACCCCTGTGCCCTGTAAGGCAACTCCAGTTTGACTGATAGAGCATTTCTGCACACACTGCTTTCCTTCGGACAGTCTCTGCAATACCTGAACACAACACTGCACCTCCTCATTGCTCCACCCCAAGTCCCATTCAACTTCACTACTTGAGGCTCTTCCTACCTTTTAAGCAATATATAATGGATTACATGGTTTTGCACACGCACTAATCAACTTTGTAATTGCTCTTGTACTCAACACTAATCACAGTTTTTCCTCATTCAGGCTTATAATTCTACATACTGCTCAGAAAGATGACAGTCTATGTAAGTCAAAGAAGACACAGACACCTCAATTTTGTTGGTTTATTGCCCTAGTAGCCCAGATCTGTCTTTAGCATCAGCACTTTCCACGCACTGCTTCACAGAAGTGTCTACAGAACAGTCTGCACAGCTTCCCCTCCCCTCGTAAGGACACTCACCAGCTCAGACATCCCAGTGCTGACAGCCAGCAGGATGAAGAGCTGCACTGCCCACACCGAGCACAGCTCCACAGACCCTGTCCACATGGCATCGTTCGGGCACCCCATCCACCCCTGCTGCTAAACCAGCCTCCCTGCTATCAGATATGCTGCCATTCTGGACAACTGTACACCAAAAAAAAAAAAAAACCAAAAAAACACAGTCACTTTCCCCTTCTCACTCTCCTGTACCACAAACATCATTTATATATTAAAAAAAGAAAAACTACAGAACCACAGCATCAGCGTGGAACCATGACCCCACTGAGCAACAAGGCCTCACTGTTCCCTGTGCCTGCAACCAAACCAGCCTCTGTCTCCAACCTTCTACTCAAACACTAAAACTCAGAAGCTCCTTGAGCACCCGTCCCCTCAAGCACCCAGTGAGGCCCCAGGCAATCAAGTGACAGCACCTCATATCTGAAGACCACTTTCAGAAAGGGAGTCAAATTATCAATTTCACTCCAAGTGCTGAAACTACAGAAACAGAAAATGTGTTTCATACACAATGTACTGGAAGAAGAAAATAAAAATCAATAGTTTGTTCCACACAGCAATCTAAAAGTCAGCACAAGAGAGAATGAATATTAAAAGGTAAAAGCCAACTACACGATCACATACTTGCAAAGAAACTGTTTTTACTTTATGTGCTTTTTCCCCTTCATCTTACACTGAACATATACTGGCTCAATTAAATGAAAAGAACAAACTATTCACTGCTGTGGGCTATATTTAGCCATAAGCAGGCTAACATACTAAAGCATTTTTCCTACCAGTACTCAACCTGTATTGATACTGTCAACAGCTGCCAATAACGTAAGGCATTCTGCAGAGTCAATCAAAGAAAGCAGCTAAATGTAACAGAATACACTAAAATATAATTAAAGGTAAACTATCAGCTGAATGACGCTATAACCAGACATTTTATTTCTATAGATGTGTACTTCTGATAAAGGAGATGCAAAGGCCCTTCCTTGCAGCCGCTGGTATTGCCTGGCATCAGTGAATCAAGGCAGCTCAGCTATACAGATTATGGATCTCGTAGGGGTTCCTAGCAAGGTCAGTGATAGCAGTTTCATAAAACAAAGCACCATCGTCCTTAGCAGGCTTTAGATCAAGCTCTATGCTGTAGCCAAATCCTCATCTCCATGCCTGCTCTCACAGGGCAAACAGGGCCCACACAACCACACCAAAAGACTGTAAACTAGTTTGGCTTAGCAACATCCATTCAGCCACTGGGCTCAGAAGGAATTCAGCCTAAGATCTGGTGATTCACAGAGTAATATTTCCCAGCCTGAGATGGGAAATACAGGGTTTTTTTTATTATGGACAGACCAAAAAGTCTTTTCCTCCTTTTCCAAAAAACACAGAAATTAAATTTAAAACCGGCCACATCAACTAAGCCAGTAATTTGTTCATACTGCATGTAACATGCAAGGGCAGCACCACATTGGTTACCAGTTCATGTACATAAGAATAATGCTATGTTAACACTGAAGGTAACCCACCTGCCTGCCCAGATCCTTGAGATTACCTGAGAAAGGCACATGTTTCCAGATTACTTTGCTCCCACTGAGCAGGGAGAGCTGCACAGACCAGCAGTCGCCTTGCTCTCAGAGAACTAATGGAACATTCCCTACATCAACCATCTTTCCCAGAAAAGGAGAGATGATTCAGTGCTTCTTTCAAGTGTTCTGTTATTATCAGTGCCTTTCAAAAGCAGCTGTAAACATAAACCAGCTCTTGTTACCTTTCACTGCCAGAATAATCAGAGAAAGCACTTTGCTCTATCCAGGGAAGTTCTTCCCAGTGAAGCTCACGTGTGATCACACATGTGGCTGGCATGGTGTTTTGGAAGATGCCCTTCCAACATCCAGTAAACCCATCCAGACTTGAAAATCGTCAGGAACCACATTCATGGTTAAGAAAATCTGTTAGCATGGACACAAGCACAGCTTTTAGAACAATGCCAAATCCATCTCTACTTCAACGGACTCTCAAACAGATCAACTTTTTTTCCTTCTTTTCTTTTTCTTTCCCTTACGAAAGCACAAGGACATTTTGGGACAGCTTAAGACATGTCAACAGAACATTACAGAGAAAAAATTCATCCTGTAACATCTGGTAAGCAGATCTTATGAATTTTTTCTTCCCCCAGAAGAGAACAAGGATATATGCAAAACAAAAAGCAGCCATTTAAAACACTTGTTTCAATGAGCATTAAGTCCAGATCCAAAGGTAAAAACATTTTTTCTGTGACTTACCAGAATTTCTCTTCGACACGAGCTTCAAATTCATGCTGACTACAGTACAGATCACAAGAACCAAGAGAACAAGAGGCTTCATCTTTCACTTTCTTTGGCAGCTGAAATGCAAACATAGTATGAAGTCTGAATCATAGGTCTTCACCACACCAATGCAGCAGCTACAATTAAATATTTCTCAAAGAGCCATTAAGGGCAATGCTTAACCTAGTGACATCTGTCAGCTTTTGGTTTATTTTTTTAATGCAGAGGTAGGAAAACATCACGGCTCAAAGCAACTGCCCATGAATAATTTACCTGAGTACCACACAAGAAGTTATTGGCTTTGTTTTTCAAATATTCTGAACGCATTATTTTGCTTTAAAAAAAAAAAAAAGAAAAGAAAAGAAAAGAAAAAAGAAAAAGAAAAAAAAAAAAGGACAAATTCTTATTTGAAACAATCTAACTTAATCCGACAGATTTTTGTATGTTGTAGAAGACTAATCACAACAACTATAACTCATTTTGTTTCATACTTTAAAAGAACACTTTACATTGTTTGGGAAAGTGTAAGAGTAGGTTATTTGTGCCATTCCTCCCAGAAACCTTATTTTCCCCACTGGTGACCTTATAAAAGCTCCTACAGTGAAATGATACTACTCCAGAAATTTCTAATATAAAAAGAGGACAGCTAAATGAAAACCAGAAATCAATGGAACCAAGCCTTGAGACTGTTATTAAAAATACAGTAAAATTCACAGGAGAGACTAATGCCATCTACTTTATATCATAATTGTTTTTAAAAAAGAGAAAACCCTAGTTTATAACGGTCTTTTGAGTGGTACGTAATTACTGGAACAAGTTATGTTTTCATTCACAAGTCCAAAGTCATTCAAGAAAAGACAGCAAGAGCTCAGTGAGGCTCCCTATACGTGATTAAAAAACAGGTGCAGTGAAACTGAAACCAGCAAAGCCCATCCTTCTCACTAAATGAAAAAGGAGAGAAATGCTTAATTAGAAGCTAGAGTCCCCAAATACATGCTTAGCATGAAGCCACAGGACTTTAAGTGGCCTGCACTTACAGGAATTCACCACCATATCAGATATAGAACCCAGATCAGGATCCTTACCCTTGGATACAGAGACTAGTTACCTAGATCAGTATGAAGTTTTTATCTATCAAAATAATCAGCTGACGCTCTATGGCAGCTCTGTTTAAGCAGAAAGGTGCACAACCACCTGCATCAGCAACCAAGGCAAAGACCAATAAAACAGAGGAACCCCAACTGGCAGAGGCAGCCCCCAGCACAGGCTTAATATGAAAAGCCAGCAGGAGAGCATCATGTCCTGCAGGTCTCAGGAAATTATTCCATTTAATTGGAGCTTATTACATTAACCATCCTTCCTTTGTCATTTTACTGCCAGCCTACTGTTGTGTGAAGAAAATCTAAGGAACCACATATAATTTTGTACACGAAGGCAATTACGCTGCTACTCAATTATTTCAAAAGTACTGCTTATATCTGAAGTTTTCACCCCTCACCCTACTGCACTGCAAGCTACAAAAGGGCAGCAGATTTCTTCTCGCTGCATTTCAAGTTCCCCTGGGCACTCACTGCCTGCTGATTCCCCCAGGTAACGACGCTAAAGAGCTGAAGGGATATTCAAGGAGCCGTACGCACTGAAGGCTGTCTGACAGTGCTTAATGGCAGAATCCGTTTTTGTTCTTCCCTAACCTCTCCTTGGAGTACCAAAATCCTGAAACGAGCAAGGCCATCTTGACAAGAGAGCGAGGAGAAAGTAATTGAACTAAATCTTTTGACAGATAATTGTAATGATGATGTTATGCTAGAACGATTTTCAAGTGTAGCTTTGCAAGTTGCTTTCTTCACTTCCTTCCCTTTGGTTATTACAGCTGAGGTATGTAACTCCAGGATCCTTCCTCATATGGCCCCTTTATCCTCAACCCAAATGGGCTATGCTGCATTAAATAAACTTAAAAACTCGAAGCAAGTTGTGACAAGCAACATTCACTCTAAATATAGGGGAAAACTCTGGGTTCTGTCAGCACCAGATGCTTTGCTTTTTGAAGCCCATGCCTCACTAAAGCAGTCACTGCCTGTACCTGCACTAGCAATATTATGAAAACACAGCAGGAGAAGGTCAAGAATCTACTCCACCACCCAGCCATTCCCAGCCCAGCCCAACACCATCCATTCATCTGACACAAGCTGAATGCAAACACACAGCAGTACTTGGAGTGCCTTCTTTGTATACAGAGATGTCCCAGCTGAAGGCAGAAGCACTCACAACATGCAGGGCTGCAAGCATCCCAGACAAGATCTCTTTGTTTGCCAGGGAGGAGATATCAAGGGCTGAGCCTCTGAAGATCGCCCTGATGTCTGCCAGCCTCACAGTTCCCTGCAGTGGGCCATGTACTCGCCTGCCAGGCACAGGGATGCCCCAGAGAGTCAAGATGGTCTCACTCCAGATCTACCAGCGCTTTGGGAAATAAATGAGAGGAAAAGTGTCTACAGTCTGATCAAGAATGTGAAGAAAACTGTGCTATTCTGTAGAGATACTAGATGGGACGCAATGATCATTATTCAAAACCATTTTCCACAACTGAGGCTTTTCTTCCAAGTAGGACTGATCTGGAGCACAACTACATCCAAAAGCCAAGCAGTCGCTTAGTGTCCCTGGTGTCACCTACTGATCCACATGAAAAGGAAACACATGAGGAAGGGATTACCCCCGACCCTACTTACCATAAGGGAAAGAAATTCAGCCTCAAGGCGTAACACTCCTGTTGATTTTAGGCTGTTTATTCCATATACACGTAGTCAAAGATAAGATCACATTTACAGGATTTGATAGAAATAACTGCCCATAGAACATGTGGATAACAAGGGATTCCAGGTAGCCACAGAGACTCCCATCTCAAAAGATGAAGGAGATTCCAGCCACAAATTGCACTCCTCAATACTTACTACACTTCCCAACAACCAACTGCAACACTGCATTTTTAGCACTGCCAAAGTCCCAGTTAGACTCTGACAACACTGCCAGGACAGCCCTGCACCTGGGGTAACACACTGCTTTTTCATCTACTGCAGCACTGTCCCAGAAGTTCAAATTCTGGCTTCCCATGAAGAGCTGAACCCAATCTTCACCTTCTAGCACCACCTATCCTCAATTTACTTTAACCTCTGATGGCAGCATAAAACTCTCCTGTTTGAAACACATTTCATAGAAGGCAGGTTACAGCTAGGAGTTTGTAAGATTTCTAAGTATTGATTTTAACAGAATTTTATATTAAAGTTTCTTTACATGCCAGGCAGCATCTTCTCCTCCCCATTTTCAGTTAGCTCTTCATGAAACAGCTAAAGTTAAAAATCCCCAAGTTCCTTCTCCTAGTGCAAAGACATGCTTCCTTAAAAACAGCACATGCTTCCATTTAGGGTATCTATATGCTACAAAATTATTGTTATAAAAATGCATCTGTTACTTCTCTTCACCTCTTTATTTCAAATGTGAGGACCAAAGATAATTTTGGTCAACTTCTCTTTTTAAATGGTTATGAAAACCATCTTCTTTGCCCACCTCCCACCGCCATGCGTGACAGCTTCTCAAACACTTTCAGCATTTAAGAACTGTGTAACTAAAATCAAAGACTTAATGAACTTAGGATGGCCAGAACACATCACAGAAACAAGCGTTCTTGTCAAATAAAACTAAAGTACAATTCCCACATTGTAGTTGGCAACAAAATTAACCTTGCACTATGCCTGGAAGTTGGGAGGTTGAGGCTGACACACACAGGGTGCATCAGACAGATCTTCACATCATGCAGCTTGGACATCAGACTACTGGATACAGCTCAGAGGAGGGTAACAGCATTTAAGATCTTTCCCAGAAGAGTGAAGATGTTTCCCTTACTAACTGTACATAGAAATGCTGATAGCAGCTAACTGGCTCAAGATCCCTGAGATGAAGAAAGAGAAAGGCAGGATAAAGTGCTCCCTGAGAAGGCTGAAAGAATCCAGCCCTTGGCGTGACCTACCAGGTTACGTTTGTATGGAGATAAGCAAAAGGAGGTCACTACCATCAGAGGGAAGACAAAGAAGATGGAGCAGTTTTGTTCTCAATTGTTCCTTCCCTCCTCATGCTGCTGCGATGCTGCAGAGGACAGATTTCAGACCGCCCTCCTGACCTCTGCTGTAAGCACCCAGCAAACAGGAGGGCACCAAACTGCCATGAAGCACAAATTCTGTTCTTCTAAAAGCAAACCAAGAAAAAAAACCTGACTTCCACATGCTGCCTAACGGCCTTCAGCAGCACTGACAAAACAAGGCATTTCTTCAGGGCCCTGAGGAAACAAGGCTTGGGAAACTGCAACAGCATCCAACACTGCAAAGATCTTCACTCAAGTGTCGAGGTTCCAATAAAGCATTTAGAAACAGGAAGGCAATTGGTGCATTAGTATTCTGCACAAACCTCAGCACTGAGATTCCCAAATCTCTGCCTTACACGCAATTCAGTTTTGCTGTAATTTCTACCATAAGCTTTGCTTATACCACATCCCTTTGTCAGAGAAAGCAAGAAGAGAAATGCAGTGTGTGTGCACTCGGCACACGCCTGTGCACAGACCAAGATCTGCTGACACACCGTGAGGATCTGCAGGTTCTGGCTCCTCCACAGAAGCTGTGATGCAGAAGGTGCTCATTAAAATCAGCAGCCCACCTCTTGAGTGGTTTCCAGTTGTCAGGCTTTGTTGTTCACAAACCTCAGGGAAATAAATGACTGTTTTCACCCCCCCACACAAAGTAAGAAATGGCAACAGCAATTCTTTCGACATCTTTACAGTATGCTAGATGGCGACTTCTTTTCACTCTTTTTCAAACCATTTGCCCACTCCGCTTCTTAAGGTTTTCAATTTTAATGAGAGTTCTCTCTCAGGTCTCCCATTCTGTTGCCAACACACCAAATGTTGAGCTGTGTATTTCTGAGAAGTTTTCAGCACGCACAGCATGGTGGGTGGAAGCAATCCGCAGTGGGCACAGGTCCCTTTTTGTTGACGCTCTGATCTCACACACACACAGCAAAAAGAATTAAAATCAGA